GCTGGCTTTGAGCTCACTTTGTAGCCCAGGCTGGTCTCGAACTCGCAACAGTCCTCCTGCCTCAGCCTCCCAAGTGCTGGGATTACAGGCATGAGCCACCACACTCGTCATGATCACTTCCCTTTTGTACTCTTTTGTTTTCAGTGCATTTTAAACTGTAGTCATGATAATATAATTTGTTATGCAAGGATGGTTGGAGTAAAGTAGTTATTAGCACAATATAACTGAGACTGTAGTTTTATTAGAAAACTACATGGACAGATGTAATGCTTCCTAGAATAGAGAGATGTAATTATAATTTGAAAGTCCAAGTGAAGTAAGAAGAAAAGAAAAAGCATGATGAGCATTTAAATGAATGCTTCAAAGTACAAAAGGAAGATAGGATTCTTGCCTTGAGCAGACAGTGAGTGAGACTAGGGAAAGTGTGAAAACTCTTGGATTAGCTGCAATACATTAAGGTGTCTCAGTACGTTGCAGCCCTCAGATAAGTGAGGTTTTAGATCAGATGGGTATTTCAAAGGACTTGTAGTGGAATTTTGTGCTGTAGCAGACAGAAGAAACATTAGTAAAGAAACACATTTGGCAAGACCACTAGAAGAGTTGCTGTTGCCAGTAGCAGGTCTTTACATGGAGGATGCAGCTAAAAAGAAGTCGTCTGAGCAAGAAGACACAAGATATGAAGTGTAAAACCTCACCTTTACTTTGTGACAGAGAATAAGATTCTAGGCAAATGATAAAGTAATAATGAAAGTAGATAACACATACAAGACCTAACAAGACATCGTTCTAAGTGTTTCAAATAGTTAACGTGGAATTTTCACAACAGCCCTATAGTTAGATACTTTTATTATTCCCATTTAATGGATGAAGAACTGACCCATATAGAAATGAAATAAATTTGCTGAGCATCACATAGGTACATAGTAAGAAGGCAGAGCTAGATCTTAATGTAGGTAATCTGACCCTAAAATCTGCCTCTTAATCACATATCTCACTGTACTGTACTATGATGATTGATTTCAACCTACCTTCTTTCATCTCTCGTAAATAACTAATCTGTGCCCTTCTTTTTTTTGCATGGTGCCACATTTCCTACTCCCCTCAAGGAGCCAATGCCTTCCTGGCCTTTTCTTCTTCCCTACTATTAAAACCTACTCTGTGGAAAGAAGCTAATAAGCTCATTCATTCACTCATACCAAGGTATAAATAACCGATATGGCTTAATATAAAATAATACCCCAGGGTTGAGTTTTACTTAAGGGGATGGGGTGGGGAATGTTAAGGGGCCATAAAATCCTAACCTCAAACCCTGTTGAAAGTAAGGTATGTGTGGGCATGGGAGGATGAGTAAGTTGTGTGCATGACCATCCAGACCCTTCAAATCACAGCGCTGTTTAGCTGGCCCGGGGCTTGTGAAAACCCATCTAGTAGAAATGAGGTAAGAACATGAAAGTGGGAAAAGAAGAATAAAAAGAGATATCTTTTTTATATTGATTGAATAACTTTAGGAATACACTATTAGTTCCTTTATTCATTATCCAGTGGAAGAGTTCTGATATAATCCCATGAGACATAGACCTAAGGAGAAGACTTGACTTGGATATAGTCACAGATGAAAAAAGAGATTTCTATGCAAGAGTTTAAGGGTTCATCTTTTTATATCTGACCTGGGTAATGTCAAAGATTGATTTTTTTTTTCCATTTGTCTCCTACAGAAATAGCCTTGTCAGATGGGTCCCTTTCTTACCTGCTCTAAGAATCTTACAGTCTTGGAATGTTATCCTAAAGTTAACCTGATACCCGTCTTTTCTTACTGCACATAAGTCAATCATCAAGCCTTCTCCTTTCTTTCTTTATATGGTCCTCATATATTTCAATCTAGTGCAGTTCAGTGAACACTTACTGAGTGTCTGCTCTATGCCAGTTACTTGCTCTGGGCATACATGGATCCTTATCACAATGTCCCATCTTCTAGGACAGAATGTAGCATGACCTAGTCTCATAAGCACTTAAGTGCAGAAGTGGTGTGCAAAAGAGACTTATTCGCTGGAGATGGTAAAAGAGATAGTGCCTGAACAGGGCTTTCAAGGATGAAAAGAGTTTGTCACAATAATAGTGGGAAGCAAAATACTGCAGCCAGAGGGCAAAGCAACTGCAAAGGCCTGGAAGCAGTGTTGCTATATAGAATATGAAGTTTGAGTTGAGGAGTGTGGGAAAAGCTCTCTTTTGCTTTTTGTCATTGTCAGGATCACCATATGCCTTGAGCATCAGCTTGTTTATTTTCATGCCTATGATTTATTTAAGACCTAGTATTTGGGGGGGGACCCTTGCTAAAGTCTTACCTATATGCCATTCTTGAGACTTTAGCCACTGTATCTTGACACCTGTGTGTTTGTATGCCTTGTGTGTCCTCATTGTCCATCCTCAGGCCTCTGTGATGACTGTTTGATACTGGCCTCTGAGGGTGGTAGAAAAAGGAATGATAGTTTTCACTCACATCCTTGTGGCCATATAAGTTAATCATCAGATTTGCATATAATAATTTTGGAAACCTCTTGCAGTTAAGGGACTGTTATGAAAATAGCACGAGTACTTTGTTAGTTACAATAATATGATTTATTATACCAAATAATTCAGGTTAGCAAGTGAGTTTCTCTGCTGTGTATACACACAACAACATGGTATTAAGAAAATACCACACAGTGGAAGAAAATAGGAAGTGGAGACCTCCTTTCCATGTAAGAGAAGGGAGTACTCAAATTTATGCTCATGCAGTTTGTGGCCTTACCTATTGTTTCTTCTGTTTCTCCATATAATTTGGCCAGGGATATAGCTCAGTGGCACAAGCGCCTGCCTAGCAAGCGCAAGGGCCTGAGTTCAATTCCCGGTACCAAAAAAAAAAGAAAAATAATTTGAAAACAAAAAGGCTACTTCTAAAATTTGTGTACTGCTATAAAAGGAAGTTATAGGGAAAATACTGTCAAAACAAAGTGATTTTTATGCTAATTTACTTATAACTTCTTTTTTTAAGGATGCTGGGCAGTTTTACGCTAAATATAAAGAAACAAAATTGAAGGAAAAAGAAGATGCACTGACTAGAACCGAACTTGAAACACTTCAAAGTGAGTTTGAAACACTGTCTTACTGTGTTAACAATATCATATAAAACCAATGATCTAAATTTGCATTTTCCTGTAGGTTTAGCAGTAATTAAGTTTCCTATGTTTTCTTTGCCCATAGTCAGTTGTATTTAATGTATTATGCATGAAAAGTACTCTATTCCTGAACCACCCAAAGTCCATTATCAGAAGGAAGAATAAAATCAACATGGGGCCATACAGCTCCTCAAGTAGGGCCATCCAAAATCTGCTGTGTCCTATTATATTCTAGTACTAAAATTATAATTGATTTTTAGGGCCAAATCTTAGGAACTGCTGTGATAACAGTGCTTAGGTAGTTGAGAAATCAGAAAATATCAATGATTTTTGTTCTGAAAGATTTGTTTCATTTGCAGTACTGTTGTTATATAGTATAAACATCCTTGAATAAATTATTAATATTTTGGAAAGAAATCTTCTGATGTACACTCAAGACCATTTCTCGTGATTTTAGGAAAAGTTGAACATGTTGTTAAGGAAGAGATTTTCCAAGTTCTGGTCCTTTGTCTAATCTTGTTTCATCTCCATCCTTCCTACATGTGTGCACTGTCTCTACACTACTTTATTTTATTCAGCGCCTTTAACTGCTGAACAGTTTATTAACTACTTAACAATTTATTACTTTTGTTTACATCTGGTTTCCTCCCAGTGGAATGTAAGCATCATAAGGTAGGGTTTTTATCTGTTCATTGCTGTGTCCCCAAGTTTCAGGGGCTAGAGCTGTTTTTCCTTCTAGCACAATCCTTTGTGTGCCTGGGCACCTTTTGAATGGGGACTTCCTTTTTCATCCTTGTGTCTACAGCTTCCAACAGTGTCCTATTGCATAGTAAATTTTCAGTAAGTGGATGAATGGGTGGATATTGAAATTAGTGTAATACCATGAATATTAAATGTCAGCCAAGCATCTGTCCATATAGAACGCTACATCAGGAGACAAAGAATTTAATTCAGAAAGTTTCAGTAGTTACAAGTACAGAATAATGTTCAGATCAACTGTATAATTGTATAAAGCAGACTTCTGTGAAGAGGGAAGAATTAAGATGGTAAGGTTCCATATTAAGATTATTAGGTAGATGTATGTTGGGAAGTAGAAGTGGGTAAATAAACTCTAAATGTGATTTTTATATAATTGTTATTTTTAAATAAAATTGGTATATAATCTTTTTTAGGCCTTTCAAATTAGTCAAAGAGAAAAAAATCTTATTTGTAAGGAAAGAGGAAAACATCCAACTCATCTAAAATTTACCTATAGAGACAATGTAAATATACTATATTTCATTACTCTCATAGTCAGCTTATCATTTTTATCAAATTTTGGTAACAAAACACTTAATTGTTGTAATTTTGGTATCTGTTTTAGAACTGTCTTAATAGTAAACGATTAAGTATATGTACTACCCTTATGAAAATAGGGGTTAAACAAAAAATATTTATCACAATGTCAGAGCTCCTTTTGAGGGTTATAACCATTTTTCCTAAGTTGTTCACAGATTTTTGTTCTGGCTAAGAGTTTGATTAACATTCTCAGTTTTAATAATTTGTTTCTTATTTTGTTATTTAGTAAAAAAAAGATTATGTAAAGAAATAAATTTTAAGTAGATAAATATCTGAAAGTTCTTTCTGTCTCCAATAAAAATGTATTATAGTCCTTTAAAACATTTGAAAATTCACCAGTAACTTATCAGTTAGTGAATCTCAGAATAGAATACATATAAGAAGTTGTATTAAAAGTAACATTCACACTAGGCTCTGCATGATCAAACTGTTGTCTCTCATCTCATGTTTTTCTATGTCAGTGACTATTTGGAAAAGGTGGTGGACCGACATTAAGAATGATAAAGAACAATCACATTCACTGTTAACAATGTCAGAAACTGTCATGTGTTTTTTAATGTAGTCTCTAATGGTTACATGCAAAGAATCTTTTAATTAATTTTGTTAACTTCATTACAGTGTTCTGCGTTGTATACATTAGAATTAATACATAAAGGCCCCAAATCCCCTAGTGTGCATTTCATTTGCCCCTATCCTTCTTAATTTTAAAGACCATCATTGGAATACTGAGTTCATAATAACATTTCCATCTACTTAATTGTGTAAATGTATCTCATGCAGATTAGCAGTAGCTATTTTATGCTGCCTGTCTTTCATGACCTAACCGCTAATCTGCCCTCATGTCTGTCTGCCTTACTGCTCAGGTTGTGCAGCACTCTCAGGGGGCTGCCCCAGAGCTACTTGGAGTAGGGTGTAACAGTCTTAGAAAAATAGTATTTTAGAGGAGAGTAAGTGGGGAAATGGTAATTTCTTTAAAGTAAATATCCTTCTGAGAAGTTTTTTGTAAAACTATTTTTAAATCTCTATTTAGGAAATTTTTGTGACATTCATTAGAAACCTTTGATGAGCTTTATATGTAGCTTTAAATAAGTTGAATATTTCTAAAATTAGACCTTTTGAGTATCCAGGATATTTTTGTATAGTCTCTAATTTTATGAGCTTTATCTTAAATAGCCTTTGTTAATTTGTGGGCCTGAGGATTAAACCCAGGGCCTTGTGTATGCTAAGCAAGGCATCTACCCCTGAGCTACTGTATTTCCTCAGCCCCTCTCTAGATCAGAGGAAGTAAATTTAATGTACTGAAAATGAAACAGCCCATATCATGAATGCTAAATTCATTATCCTTTTTTAAAAAAAATTTAATTGATACATAAAAAGTGTACATGTTTCTGGAGTACCATATGATCTTTTGATACATGTATACATTGCATAATATTCAAATTAGAGCAAACATCTTACCAAACATTCTTTATGGTGAAAATATTCAAAATCCTTTTTTCTAGCTATTTTGAAAGACAGTACATTATCAAGAAATGTTTGACTTATTTCATAGAGGTAGTGTTTATAAAGGTCATAATTTGAATAGACAAAAGGAGACCAAAAATCAGAATTAGTATTTTCTTACCATTTTCTTTATGCCTTGTATGATTTTTAATCAAAAAGAAAATAAAATTATCAAACCTTCCTGCCAATTACTTCTTTATGTGTAAAAATAATATTTTCAGACACTTGTCATATTTTGCCTCTTATTTTATGGCACTCAGGCATGTTCCAGTGTCAGACCTAAACTGGGATATCAGAGAGCACAGAGGGGGTGGGGCACTCAGTGCTCAGAAGGAAAGGGAAAAGCCTTTCTAGTTTATTAGGATGAGAGAGCATTTGCCTTCATTAAGATGAAGGAGCATTGATTCTCTAGAAAACTAGAGTTCATGAAAAAAGCAGATGCTGGTGCTGATTTGTAACTTGATTGAGGAAAAAGGGAGTGTGGGAGAGGCAGCCCCAGTACATGTTTACATTTTTCCTGTGGTAAGGTGGGTACTTCTGGTTGGGAGAACCTGCGATAACTGATGAAAAGGCACATAACCAACCACCACCTCCAGTAGACTTGGGGCTGGCAGCGATGGTGCACACCTGTAATCCCAGCACTCAGGAGGCTGAGGCAGGAAGATTGCCATGAGTTTGAGGCCAGCCTGGACTATATCACAAGATAAGATCCTGTCTCAAACAGAAAAAGAAAAAAGGAAAAAAAACTCTCTACCTTAACTTAGAGGACATATTATATTATAAAACCTAATTGGATGTCTAGTGCTTTAGTCCTAAAATATTTTAAATGTAGGCAAAAAGTACCTGAACAATAGTGTTTTGCCATGGGTACTTTGATAACAATAAAAGTGTGAATTTTTAAAATCATACAGCTCAAGTATAAATTTACCATGCATCCCCTTAATATTTCAAATCAGTGCTGTGCATGTGCCAATATAATACAGTCTTAATCTTCTCAATAAATGATTCCAAAAAGTTTATCCCATTGAATATATGTTTGTGGCTATAGATTAGTCAAATTTCAACTCCAGTTTTATGTGTTAATTTGGAAATGAGTAGCTACTTAATATAAAATAACACATCAGTTGATAAGCCCCATGCAGGTAAGGTGTTTTTGTATGTCTTGTTTATAACTGTAACCTCTGAACCTAGGACAGTGATGGAAAACCTTTTAGAGTTTTCAATGATAACAGCCAGCAGCAGCACACACGCCATAGGTTCACCACCATTGGCCTAGGACCATGCCTGGCACATAGTAGGAGCTTGGTAAATATTTGTCAAACTAGTGAGTTTAGAAATACTATATTGTTCTTTTCCGCACTCATATTCTTCAACAGCATTTCTTACAAAAAAGTCTTTGTCATCACTAAAACTACTTTTTGAGTGATCACAGCTATCCAGACTATGACATTCTTTTTCCTGTATTCAGTAAGATGTGGTCCTTTTGAATCCATTTTTGATGCTGTCTCTGGAAATTTTAAACCAAACTGCAAGTACCTATTCACCTAATAGTAGGATTTTTTTTTTTTCATTATTGCTACAACAAAACTATATATTGCTTTTGTATTTCAGTTTTTACTTTAAAATAATTATAGATTCAGGGGCTGGGGATATTAGCTCAGTGGCATAAGCACCTGCCTGGCAAGCACAAGGTTATGAATTCGATCCCCGGTACCACAAAAAACAAACAAACAACAAAAGAAAAATTACAGATTCAAAGGAAGTTACAGAGATAGCACAGGAAGGTTCCATGTCCCCTCCACTCAGTTTCCTTGTTGCTGACATTTTACGTAACTGGTATAAAAGAAAAACCAGGGTACTGACATTGATATCAGTGAGCTGATCCTTCTGTGCCAGTGTAGCACAGGTTGCTCAGGTAACCTCCAGCTCAGTCCACAGAGGGGCCTGGTTAGCACTGTTTCCTGGTAATGTGTGGAGACTCTACTACAGTGGTGGCAAACCTATGGCATGTGTGACGTAGCAGGCTGTTTGTATCATTAAAAGCCCTAAAAGGTTTGCCATCCCTCATCTCTCTGTATCCTCACCAGCATGTGACATTGGTGCGGTTTTGAACTGTGTGCAGAGAT